GGGGGGCCTGGCGCTGGGGCTGCACCCCGGGGGCGCGCAGGGCGGCGCGGGGCTCCCCGCGCAGGCGGCGCTCTACGGCCACCCGGTCTACGGCTACTCGGCGGCGGCAGCGGCGGCCGCGCTGGCCGGCCAGCACCCGGCGCTGTCCTACTCCTACCCGCAGGTGCAGGGCGCGCACGCTGCGCACCCCGCCGACCCCATCAAGCTGGGCGCCGGCACCTTCCAGCTGGACCAGTGGCTGCGTGCGTCCACCGCGGGCATGATCCTGCCCAAGATGCCCGACTTTAACTGTGAGTACCGCGCGGGTCCCCGCGCCCGCGGAGGAAGGGAGGGAGAAATGGGGGGCGGGAGTCCTGGCACACGGCTTTCCCGCGCGCCCTCCTCTACCCGGCGCCGCCTTCTCCTTGCTCTCGGCTCTGAAAGCGCGGTGGAGGCGCCGTGAAGCCGCCTGGGCTCCGCCCGGGGCCCGCGAAGACTTACATGGACTGCCCGCTGCGGGATTGGCAGCGAAAGGATTAAAATGGCCACGCGCGGGCCCTGCTCTCTCTTCCTCTCCTAATGGGAAGGGGCAGCTGGAGGTGTGAGACTAAAACCTAATGATTAACCGGCGGGCTGGAGGAGAAGGAAGTGGTGGAGGAAGGCGAGTCAAAGAGCGCCCAAGTCAGGCCGGCCTGGGGATCGAGGCTACCTAAACCAGGGGCTTATCTCCAGGGAAATGAACTTGAATTAGGTACCGCATTGTGGGTTCTGGAGAGACCCCCCCCACCCCAGCCCCTCTCAGGAGGAGAGATTCAGGAGCAGAGAACTAGAAATGGGCTTCAAGAGGCCAGGGCTGAAAGGCCAGGTCCCTGGCTCTGCTCTGGCCCTTTGCGGAGGTGCTGGCTGCCTCTGTAAGGGTGCTTGGGCCACAGTGTGATGTCCAGCAGGCAGATGGCCGGACTTCAACAGAGCCGTGGTGGGCTCCTTCCGAAGAAGCCTCTTTCGTTCGTGCCTCTTTCACGAACACCACTGTAGGGATTGGCAGGTGCCCGCCCAGAATTGGAGGCTCCCATTAGAGGGATCCCCTCCCCAAGACAGGAGCGAGGGACGGCTGGCCGGCCCCAGCCTGGGAGCTGCTGGGCTGTGGGCAGCATGCTTGCCAGGCAGGTGGTACGCCTCCGGGAGGCCTGAGCCCACCCGACTTTTTGGACGGGCACAAGGGGTTGGCATTCTGGGGAGTCTCAATCTCCCCTCTGCTCGCCCCACCCGGGCTCCACGGAGAGGCTGATGCATGAGACTTCATGCTTTCTGCAGCAGAACACCCAAACAAAGAGACCCCATTGTTTCCTTCTGAGTGGATGTGCTTAGACTGGAGAGATGCAGGCGTAGGAGAGGAAAAAGGCAAAAAAGAAAACAAAAATAAACCCTTGGCAGAATTCAGATTCCTCTGCTAGAAGCCACGGTTGTGACTAAACAGAGAAAATCTAGGGGCCTGAGAGCTGCAGAAGTCACAGGGGGGTGAGAAAATCCCAGCCTGCGGACTGTTTGCCCGTAGCCGCCACAGGCTTTCTCCAGCTCAGCTCCCAGAAGACCCTAATGGCCACGCAGCCTGTCCAGGTGGACGTCAGCCCCTTCGGATCTGCAGCAGGGAAAGCCGGGACTCACCTTTCAGCTTGGGGCAAACATATCTGAACTTGCAGATCCCGGGTCAGCCAAACTCCAGCACTCTTCCTGGGCTTGGCTGTGAGCAGAGCCTACCCACCCCTTCTGATGGAAGGGCACCCATGGATGTTCCCTTATGACCTGCATGTCCCAGAGCCTGGGAAGCTTAATCTCCCACTGAGGGAGTTGGAAGTCTACACACACACACACACACACACACACACACACACACACACTTCTTCTGGGTGCTGGGTTCTCTGCCACCCGCCACCTGCCCCCAACCCACCGTGCTTTCCTTGGCCTGCGTGAAGCTCAAGGTCGCTCGGAAAATTGACGAAAGTCACGTTCCCTCCGCCATCCCTGTTTCCTAATCTTGACCTAGAGGTAGCAGAATTAGAAAAGGAATCTAAATGTCAAATCTTAAAAGGCGATAATAAACAGGCCAGGAGGCCGGAATGTGTTTGGAGGGTCCCTTCCTCTGGTCGCAGGAAAACCTGTTTGGTTTCCTTTAATTGGTTGTCTCTGCTGTTGGATGGCATTTCCCAAACGGTCCCTTTGGAGCCAGTGTTTTAATTAAAGTTCTAATGTATTGTCGAGCTGGGAATTGGGGCCTCATTTAACTAAAGCTGGGGGCGTGGGCCTTCCGTAAAGCAAATTGCCCCCCCCAGGGGGGGGGCCTGAGCCCAGCCTACCGGCTGGCCTCTTTTCTTCCCTTTTGTTTATTGTCTAACACTTGTCAGGCTCCTGGGAAATCAAGGGAAGTCTCGTTTTGAGGTCATAAAATTCTCTGTGATGTAACCGTGTGAAATTATGTAAATTCAGCCAAGGGACCTCCTTGCACTTTCAGAAAGCCGGATCCCCGCTTTGCCTCGGCCTTCAGTCTGTGAAGTGAGAACTGTCCTGTTCCAGTCTCCGGGGCTTTGCTCCTCTGCACCCTGGAGGCGGGGCTGTCAGGAAGAATTTTCAGTGGGGAGTGGGATGGATTCTCATTTGGGGCCAAGATGTGGTCCTTCTCCTTCCCTCCTTCCTCCTCTCTTGGCCTTTGCCCTACTTCTTCTGTAGCTGAGGAGGTGGTGGTGGGAATCTTGCACCAGTTCCTTGCTGGTCAGGAGGACATGGGGTTGGTAATTCCCAGACCTGTTTGTATTTGTGGCTGAGCTAGGGGAGGCTGGCTGAGGAGTGGAGAGGAGCTGTACCTGTACCTCTCCGCTCTCACTGTCTTGCCTGTCAACTTCTTCTGCACTGTACCGCGCCCCCCCCCGCCCCCAGATGAAGAGGACTGCCCTGGGTGATAGGCTCTCTTTAATCAGAACACCCAGACCCTGAGTTAAAAAAAAAAAAAAAGTCCCATTAGACCCAAACCCGTATGTCTGTCCCTGGTATCCAGGTCCTGGGCTTGTCCAGTCATCGGGTCCCTTGGGGAGAGGGCACTGACACTGAAGAAAGAGCAGCGACTCAGCAGGGTCCAGGAGGCCAGGTGGCAGACGTGGGTGGTGGGCTCTGGGGCTCTGGGGGCCCACAGGAGGTCAGAGGACAGCGTCAGGCTGTGGGCCTCACGCCCATCTCTGTCCCAGCCCAGGCACAGTCCAGCCTGCTGGGGAAGTGCCGCAGGCCGCGCACGGCCTTCACAAGCCAGCAGCTGCTCGAGCTGGAGCACCAGTTCAAGCTCAACAAGTACCTGTCACGGCCCAAGCGCTTCGAGGTGGCCACGTCGCTGATGCTCACGGAGACCCAGGTACGCAGCCCGCCCCCACCGCAACACCAGCCGGTCTCCTAGGGGACATTTCCCTCTGCACTCTTGGCCCCTGGAGTGGAGCCTGTGACTTTAGGGGGACGACTGACGTCGAGGGGAGAGTTCGCTTTGGCCTCGCTGGGGTTCATGCACCAGGCCCAGAGGTCTGATCCAGTAGGCTGAGGTCAGACCCTGAAGTCTGCGCTTGAAGGACCCTCCACGCACTCCCCCACTTTGAAGCTATGGTCCCCAGGCCACGTTTGAGAAATTTTATTCCAGAAAGAGAGGGAACATCTTGAGATTTACAGGTATGGATGCTCGCTGCTCCAGCCCTTCCTGGGCAGTGGGAGAGCACCCCTAGAAAAGGACAGGAGTCCGGCAGTGGAGGTCCGAGTCTGGGCTTCCCTGGAAACCCCCAGCCCCACTCCTGGGTTTGCTGATGCCCAGGCAGTGGGACGCTGCTTCCCCCTGGAGCTTCCGTGTCCCCTACTCTGAAGCCCGAGGTGCAGGTGCCGAGCTGGGGGCCTCAGGGACACAATCGGTGGGGGTGGAGGTGGCCGCTTCTTCACAGCCTCTCGTGCTCTCAGGTGAAGATCTGGTTCCAGAACCGGCGCATGAAGTGGAAACGCAGCAAAAAGGCCAAGGAGCAGGCGGCGCAGGAGGCCGAGAAGCAGAAGGGGGGCGGGGGCGCCAACAAAGGTGGCGGCGCAGAGGACAAGGGAGAGGAGGAGCTGCTGGGGCCGCCGGCGGTCGGGGACAAAGGCAGCACACGCCGCCTGCGGGACTTGAGGGACAGTGACCCCGAGGATGATGAGGACGACGAGGACGAGGACCACTTCCCCTACAGCAACGGCGCCAGCACGCATGCCGTCTCCTCCGACTGCTCCTCCGAGGCTGACTCGCCGCCTCCGCGGCCGGGCGGCCCGGGGCACCAGCCCCTGCCCCAGTAGGGGCCCCGCGCCCCAGGCAGCCAGCAGCGGGGCCAGCCTGTCCAGGCCCAGTCCTGCAGGCCTGTGAGCCAGGCCACCGGCCGTCCCTCTGGGGCTGCTCTTCAAGGGACAGAGAGAGGGAGGCCCAGTGGGTTCAAGCTTGAACTCCTGCTCTTTTTAATTTCATTTTGGTTAGTGTTGGGGGCTGTGCTTATGAGAAGAGCTGACCAGTACCAGAGGGAGCCTCCCACCCCCTCTTCCCGAATGGAGAAGGCGCGGACCTACAGTGTTGGACGACCTGGAAGACTTGAAACCTTCTCCAGAATCGCCATTCTGCTGAGTATGGAAAAAGGGAGAATGTTTTGTGCTCACCTATCTTAGGGGGAACTTTATGTCATGAGCATTCAAACTGCTGGAAATCTCAAAACTGTACTGTCTTTATTTTTGTATATTGTATTTATATATATATATGAAGAAGCGTCTAATTATGCATGCTAAATTATTATTTAGCTTCTCCCATCGCCCACGATGGAATGTAAAATAAATTGGTTTTTTACTGGACGCGAGTGCAGATCTTTGGGGAGTGAGTTGGGAAAGCGCGCTGTACTGTTTTGTTGTTTGAAATGATGGGGTGTGGCGATTTCCACGATTGACAGCAAAAGGTGCAAATCAGAATGACAAAGAGGCGTCGGGAACACCCCCTCTCCCCGGCTGTGTCGCAGGCGGGGCACCTGGTTCCCGCCGCCGGGGAGTCCTAGCTGCCAGATGTCGGTAAAAATACCTGAGACCAGGGTCAGCGGGCGCCCCAGTGCGTGAATCTCAGGAGAGCAACTTCGGACCCCGAGTGTTTAGTTTTTCATTTCCTTAAGGCTCTTGCTTCACCAACGCACCATCGAGTGTTTCAGCAAATAAGCTTGAAAACGACGAGATGATTTTCCCGGCGTCTGGGGGTCCGAAGGCCTCGGGGAACCCCGGGCTTCTCTCCGGCGCCCTCTCCCTCAGGACCTTTCGGCTCCGGCCAGGAGCCGCGTTCCTGGGGTCTGTGCACGTGCCCGCATGGCCTCTGGGGTGTGGTGGGGGGGCTGCGGCGGCTCTGGGCTGATCCGGCCCGCGGCGGGCGCCCCCCATCACCCGCCGAGCCCGCCGCCGCTCCACCTGCGCGCCCGCCGCTCCGCTTCCCCCCACGCCGGGCCGCGGCCGCTGGTGGGCCGAGAGCAGAGAGGCGGCCGGGGCGGCCGGGGCAGGCGGCTTCTCTCTCTCCCCCTCGTGCCCTCCTCCGTCCTTCTGCCTCTGCCTCTGCCTCCCCGCCCCCTTCCCGCTGATGAATGAGTTCACAAGGGCCGGGCGTTTCACTTGGGTGATCACCGCGGGCCTGCGGGGCCACTCCTCTACCTCGGGGCCGGGGCGAGATTAATGCCCTCTCGGGCAGCTCCTTATCACCCCGGCTCGTTCCGTGAAGCGCAACGTCAGCCGCGGCCGGGCGGGCGCAGCCGGAGCCGGCGGCAGCAGCTGCGGGCAGGGCGCGGGCCGCGGCCGGGCGGGTCCAAGGTGCTCTGGGGGGCCGGGGACTGGCTGTGCAACTGGTGCGAAGCCCGAGGGCCCCGAGCAGGCGGGTGGCGACAGGAGAGGGCGGCTGGGGAGGGGGAGAAGAGAAACACAGATGCCTTTGCGGGATCGAAACCAAACCAAACCTTGGCCGTCTGCGTCGACGGCGCTTTAATTTCTAACACATTGGAGCGGCTCAGCCCGAAGCAATCTCTTCCCCGGCTGCCTTCAGTCCGGGGCCGCCCCCGGCTCGGCGCGGGGCAGCGGGGCCTTCGGGTTGCCCCCCCGCCCCGCCCCGCGGACAGAACCGCCTGCCGGTCGGGAGAGCCGGCTCGCCCGCGTGCGGGGAAGCGGAGCCGTGAAGGCCGCCGAGCATCCCGACCCCGCCGCGGCCCGCAGAGCGCGCGCACTTTGGCGCGGGGACTTAGCGGCGGGGAGGCCCGGCCCGCGGCCCCAGCGCCTGCAGCCAGCTGCCTAATCGCGGCGGAATTTATCTCGCTAATAAATTTAATGATCAATTCGTTCTTGTCACAGTAGCTCTTCCCCAAATCAATTATAGCAAATTTAAATATAATCACTGGCTCATCCTCACCCACTCCGGGCACGGCGAACAATTCATTCCGCCTAATGAACGGCCGCCAGGCCCTGCTCTGCCCGCCTCGCGGGGCGCGCCCCCCACCCCGCTGCCCGCGCCAGGCGGGTGAGAGGTCTGCCGCCCCACCCAGTGCCCTGTTTCCACGACCTGGACCCAGGTCCTCGCAGCACAGGTCCAGAGACACAAGCCCACGCTCCACGGGGGCATCGCGGTGGCCTCTCCGAGTTCCACCACAGCGAGAGTGCCAGTAGAGACCCTGCACCCCGGGGGCTGGGTCCCCAGGGAGGCCCCCACCCAAAGTGGAGCCGGCTCTTCCGGGAATCCCAGCCTGACCGGACCCCTGCCTACCGAGGACCGGAGCCTGAGCCCGCTTCTCTTCACGCTAGCGGGAGGTTCTCCTTCCTTCTCAGAAGACAGACACTGCTCTGGCAGTGTTCCAGCATGTGCAGAAGGATGTGGACACAGCCCTTCTTGTGACAATGAAACCAATCTGCACGTATCTTCCAGGCGATGGCCCACACGTCTCTTGTCCAGTCCTGGCGGGGGCCCAGGGTCCCAGGCCCCTACAGAAGCTTTAATAGGCAGAGTCCGAGAAGTGCAGAAACGACTAGAACCTAGAGGAAGAGTCTGTTCCTTGTGAGGTGGGCCTTCCACATGCCAGCCCCCGAGGGAAGTCAGCTTGGCAAGATCAGCTTAAAAGACTTCCTATGACACCAAAAGCAAACATAGGCCAAGGGGATCATATCAAACTTGAAAACTTTTGCACAGCAAAGGGAACAGTCAACAGAATGGAAAGGCAACCCAGGACCGGGAGAAGATATTTATAAATCATATATCTGATACGGGGTTAATATGCCAAAATGTAAGAACGTGTACAATTCAACAACAAACGCACGAATCCGGTTTAAAAATAGGCAAAGGGCTTGAACAGAGATTTTTCTGAGGTGGACATACAGATGGTCCGCAAGCCCGGGAAAGACACCACCGCCAGCCACCATCGGGGAAATGCGGGCCAAAACCACACTGAGATACCACCCCTCACCCACACCTCGGCTATTGCAAAAAAAAAAACACAAAACAAAAACAAAAACAAACAAACGAAAACAGAATAACAAGCGTCGGGAGGATATGGAGACGCGGCCTTTATGCACTGCGGGGGAAGAGCGTACCGCAGTGCAGCCGCTGCGGAAAACAGGATGGAGTTTCCTCGAAGACACAAGACAAAACCCCAGCAGTCCTACTTCGGGCTGTACGTGCACGAGCCCTGGGCACGGGATCGGGAAGCGAGGCCGGCCCACGCGTGCTCGCGGCTGTGGCGTCCGCAGGGATCGGGAGGCGGAGGCGTCGCGCGGTCCGCTGGGGAACAGAGAAAGCAAAAGGACTACACGGGCACAATGGGGTATTATTCGGCCTTTGAGGAGGAAGTCCTGCCACCTGCCACCTGCCACCGCGCGGAGGCACTTTGAGGACCGCGAAATAAGCCTCCACAGCTGTCCTTACAAGTAGGAGGGTGGTCGTCAGCGCCTGGGAGGGGGGAAGGAGCTTTCCAGTGGGTTCAGACTTTCAGTCTGGGGAGGCGAGGGGATCCCAGAGACCTTTTGCCTAAGCCCAGCGAACAGTACCGTGCTGACACTGTGGGTGGCTCCGACAGGCCTTCCTCCCTCTCCTCGCCACCCCCCTCTCTCTTCCTTCCCAACTCCGCTTCCTGCAAGATGGGCCAGACTTGCTGTGGGAAATCCAAAGCACAGACAAGGTCCCGGAGGGGCGGCCCTGGACCGGAGCAGGAGGGCTTCTGGAGATCCGAGGCTGCGCTGTAGAGCGCCCGGCCCCGAACTCCAGGCGGGGGCCGTAGAGCGCCTCCGGGGCCTGCGGGGTAACTCGGCCCTGCGGCCTCCCCTGCGCCGCCCCCTCCAGCCCGGGGTCCTGGGGTGGCCAGGCCGGGGCTGCGCTGCTGGGCCGGGGAGTGGCCTGCAGCGCGGTGGGGGTGGCGCAGGGGGTGCGGCGGGGCGGGGCGGGGCTCGCAGGCGGGGCCCGGGGCCGGGTGTGGGCGACATGGGGGCGTGCTCCCAGCAATCGTGCGCGGCCCCCATCCGGTATCAAAGTCCTGCGGCGTGCTGTGTCTCCCTCGTAAAACTAATCCCTCCGAGGTGTGACCTGCGCCGCGAACGCTGCGCCGGTCCACACCACAGGGCAAATATGTTTTTCAGATTTGGTTTTTATGGTCGGATTAAAGTTTATTTGCCATAATAGGGCACCTAATAAAACTCATAAAGCCGGGTCGGGCCTCCAGCTGGTGGCCTCGTTTAACACTTTCACTTCGTAAATCACGCACCAGGTGTGTCCCCAACTGGACGCCGAGAAACCCCCTCCCCCTCGCCAGGTCCAGCGAGCGGGACAGCCGGGGCGCGTGGGGGCGGGTCTTCTCCCCCAGTCGAGGCCTCCCGGGAGGCCCGCGCCCCCAGATGCCCGCCCCCAGCCCGCTCGCCTCCGGCCCCGCGCCGACCCCGCGCACCTGCTGCCCCCCAGGTGTACACAAGGTTCCGACAATGTGCGGCTCCTCCCGGCCATTGTCCTCCCGCGCCCCGGCAGGACAAAGGGTGCCCCCACCCCGGGCGGCCTCAGCGGTGGGGGACAGTGGGGGGGGTCGGCGGGCGCGGTTTACCCAGCTGGGGGGAGGAACAAAGCCCCGCCGCCTTATCTCGGTGGGGCGCGGGGTCAGGCCGGGGGCGCGCGGGGGGGGGGCGGGAGGGCCAGCCGGCCGAGGTGGGGCCGAGATGGGGTCGCCGAGCCCGCTCCTGCGGTGGGGGGGGGGGGCAGAGGGGAAGCGGGCTCCCGCCCTGCGCCTGACGCGGTGACCCGTCGCCCCTGCTGCTCGCGAGGG